CGAGGACAACGTCGGCTCCTCCTCGGTGGTGGCAGCTCCGGGGGCGGGGCCTGGCGCCAGGTAACCCCTCGTCAGCCAATTGCAGGGGGCCTTCACCCAAGCCCCGCCCACCTCGGTGACCACGTCCCCTCCCCCACCCCAGGCCGCGAGGGGACACCGTGGTCTACAGCGTCCTGAGGAGGAGCCAGGGGGCGGCCAAGGTACTCCAGGACCTTCTGGATGTTCTCCATGGTGTCCTCATGGTGTCCTCCATGATGTCCTCCATGGTGTCCCCTGTGGTGTCCTCCATGATGTCCCCGCGGTGTCCTCCATGATGTCCTCCATGATGTCCCTCATGTCCTCAATGTTCTCAATGTCCCCCTGGATGTCCTCCATGTCTTTCCTGATGTCCCCCATGATGTCCCGCATGGTGTCCCCAACCATCTCCATGTCCCCCATGTCCCCCTTGATGTCCTCCATGTCCATCTAGATGTCCCCCATGGCTCCAAAGATCTCAATGTCTCCCATGTCCCCCAAGATGTCCCCCATGGCCCCAACAATCTCCATGTCCCCCTGGATGTCCTCCATGTCCTTCTTGATGTCCCCCATGATGTCCCCAACGATGTCCCTCCTGTCCCCAACGATCTTCATGTCCCCCTTGATGTCCTCCATGTCCTTCTTGATGTCCCCCATGATGTCCCCCATGTCCCCAACGATCTCCATGTCCACCTTGATGTCCACCATGTCCCCCTTGATGTCCCCAACATCCTCCTTGATGTCCCCAACGTCCTCCTTGATGTCCCCAACGTCCTCCTTGACGTCCCCAACGTCCTCCTGGATGTCCCCCAACGTCCTCCCTGATGTCCCCCAGATCTCCAAAAACCTCAACGCCACCCGTGTCCTCCTTGTTGTCCCCCTCAATGTCCCCCCCCACCAGTCCACCTCCCCGTCACAGCCCCCACCCGTCCCCGCAGGCCACCGAAGGTCCCGACTACGAGAACGTCCCAGCTGGTGCCAGTGACGGGGACGGGGAGGGGACACTGGTCTACGCCGCTCTGGCCTTGTCCTCTCCAGGGACGCCGCGAGGAGATGCCAGGGGTGGTGGGGACACTGTGGAGTACGTGGCCCTGAGGCAGTGAGACCTCGGGGACACCGAGATACGGGGAAGTGGCCACCACGGGGACACGGGGACACCATAAAACGTCCACAGGGACGTGAGGACTTGGGCACCGCGGGGACACGGGGACACGGCCACCATGGGGACACGGGGACACCATAAAATGTTCACAAAACACAAGAATTTGGCCACCACAGGGACATGGGGACACAGGGACACCACAAAACGTCCACAGGGACATGGGGTCATGGCCACCATGGAGACACCATAAAATGTCCATGGAGATACAAGATCTTGGCCATCATGGGGACACCACAAAATGCCCACGGGGACATGACGACATGGCCACCAGGGGGACACGGGGACACTATAAAATGCCCATGGAGATACAAGAACTTGGCCACCATGGGGACATGGCCACCACAGGAGACCTTTTAAGGTCCACAGGGACACAAGAATATGGCCCCCATGGGGACTCGGGGACATGGCCACCATGGGGACACCATAAAATGTCCACGAGGACAGAAGAACTTGGCCACCACAGGGACATGGGGACACCATAAAATGTCCATGGAGATACAAGAACTTGGCCACCATGGGGACACGGGGACACCACAAAATGTCCACAGGGACACAAGAATGTGGCCACCACGGGGACACCATAAAATGTTCATGGGGACATGAGAACTTGGCCACCACAGGGACACAGGGACACCATAAAATGTCCATGGAGATACAAGAACTTGGCCACCATGGGGACACGGGGACACCACAAAATGTCCACAGGGACACAAGAATGTGGCCACCACGGGGACACCATAAAATGTTCATGGGGACATGAGAACTTGGCCACCACAGGGACACAGGGACACCATAAAATGTCCATGGAGATACAAGAACTTGGCCACCATGGGGACACGGGGACACCACAAAATGTCCACAGGGACACAAGAATGTGGCCACCACGGGGACACCATAAAATGTTCATGGGGACACGAGAACTTGGCCACCACAGGGACACGGGGACACCATAAAATGCCCATAGAGATACAAGAACTTGGCCACCATGGGGACACCGGGACATGGCCACCACAGGAGACCATTTAAGGTCCACAGGGACACAAAAACATGGCCACCATGGGGACACCATAAAATGTCCACGAGGACAGAAGAACTTGGCCACCACAGGGACATGGGGACACCATAAAATGCCCATGGAGATACAAGAACTTGGCCACCATGGGGACACCGGGACATGGCCACCACAGGAGACCATTTAAGGTCCACAGGGACACAAAAACATGGCCACCATGGGGACACCATAAAATGTCCACGAGGACACAAGAACTTGGCCACCATGGGGACACCACAAAACGTCCACAGGGCCACAGTGACGTGGCCACTGTCAAGACGTGGCCACCACGGGGTTCAATGGTGACGTTGAGGACAACGAGGACACCAAGGCCATGGTGGTGGCCGCTTTGGAGGACATCACCAGGGGGCGAGGTGCCACCACCATGTTTGGGACACCAAGGCCATGGCCACCACCACCACAGTGGACTTGCTAATGCCACCGCGAGAGCCACCACCCCAATAAAGTCATCTTCAGGGTTCATTGGTTGGCCAGCAACCCTGGGACCCACCACCCACCTCAAGTCCTCTGTGGACCTCCTGAAGACCCCACCCAAGGATCCCTCCATCCACCTCAGGATGAGGTGAGGTCTCCTCAGACCTTAGGATGAGGTGGGATCTCCTCAGACCTTGGGTTGTGGTGGGGTCTCCTCAGACCTTGGGTTGAGCTGGGGTCAAGGTGAGACATTGGGTTGTGGTGGGGTCTCCTCAGACCTCGGGTTGAGCTGGCGTCAAGGTGAGACATTGGGATGAGGTGGGATCTCCTCAAACCTTGGGTTGAGGTGGGGTCAAGGTGAGACCTTGGGTTGAGGTGGGATCTCCTCACACCTGGGGATGAGGTGGGGTCTCCTCAGATCTTGGGTTGAGGTGGGGTCAAGGTGAGACCTTGGGTTGAGGTGGGATCTCCTCAAACCTTGGGTTGAGGTGGGGTCAAGGTGAGACCTTGGGTTGAGGTGGGATCTCCTCACACCTGGGGATGAGGTGGGGTCTCCTCAGATCTTGGGTTGAGGTGGGGTCAAGGTGAGACCTTGGGTTGAGGTGGGGTCTCCTCAGACCTCAGGTTGAGCTGGGGGGGTGGTGGTGGCCCAGGTCCACCTTGGGGGCAGGGGTAAA